GGCACTAGGACCATACTTAACTGAAGGTAAGGACAAACGTAAAACTCTGGTTAACTCATGTCACAGAGCAGTTACAGGAGGCTGCCTTTCGACCAGCTCCATCCTGGGACTGGGCCCAGGCATCCCTCTATTCCTTTCAGAGACAAGAACGACAGCAGGATCGTTCAGCATGCAGAAGCAGACCACAGATCCAGGCCAAGCGGCCCCTTCAAGACCGAGGGGCCGTTCCTCTGAACGAGGCAAGTGACCTCACAGTCTCACTTCCCATAGGAAGCCAGCTGGCCCCTTATTCCAGCACTTGGGCAGTCACCACTACAGATGCCGGCTGGTCCCTTATTCCAGCACTTGGACAGCCATCACTACAGATGCATGGGTGTTAGACACTGTCAACAGGGTTTGAGACTAGAAATTGTTCTCAACCACCTGACAATTCCGCTCTTGCCCTATCCCAACGAGCAGGTCCAGGGCTGACTTTATGTCAAATGCCATAGCTCATTTATTACAAATACGAGCAATTGAACCAGTACACAAGACCAAGAAGGACGAAGGTTTTACTCAAACCTCATCGTCATCCCTAAGACTTGGGGGGCTGGAGGGCAATCTTAGACTTGAAAGGTCTAAATCTTACTTGAGGTATAAGAAGTTTAAGATGCAACCACTTCAATCAATCCTGGCCAGCATCAGGCAAGGTGACTTTCTTACCTCAATAGACCTAACTGAGACATGTTTCCTAACCACCGCAAATTCCTCAGATTCAGCTATGCCCATTACCAGTACAGAGCCCTACCATTTGGCCTCTCATCGACACCGAAGGTATTTACAAGGTACTGGCAGTGCTCGCAGCCCACCTTAGACAAATTCCAATCAGAATTCAATGCTATTTAGATGACATACTAATTCAGTCATCATCATTCCGAAACGCTCAGTCAGACCTCGCCCTAGCCATCAAGGTCTTTCAGGAGCACGGGTTTTCTGTTAATTTCCAGAAAAGTCATACAACAACCCAGCTCCTCCATTTGGGTGCTGTTATAGACACGGACAATTGTACGGTCTACCTATCTCAGGACCGAAGGAACTCTATTCAGACTCTTGTATGTCGGATCCTAAGGGCCAGAGTAATCACATTGGCCTCCGTATCACAGCTACTGGGGAAGACGGTGTCCTGCGTGCAAATTGTGCCATGGGCATACCTCCATGCCAGAGAATTACATGGCTTCTCCTTCCATTTCAGAGACTTGAACTCCCTTCAATGGTGGGACTCCCCGGCGCTGTCACGGGGAGCAGTATTAGAACCAGACAGGATTACCATTACCACAGATGCAAGCCTGTTTGGGTGGGGGCACACCTTCACACGCACTGGGCTCAAGGTCGGTGGTCCAAACAGGACCTAAGGAACAATATAAACTGGCTGGAACTCAGAGCCATACATATGGCCCTAAAGAGATTCACCGATATAGTACAGGGCCAACATGTCCTGATTTTAACCGACAACATTACAGCCAAGGCCCATGTCAACAGACAAGGGGGGACAAGGTCCAGGCCTCTCATGCAGGAGGCCAAATTGCTGGGGTCCTGGGCGGAACTGAATCTTCCCTCCATCAGGGCGGAGTACATATCCGGAGTGACCAACCAGCAGGCGGACTCACTGAGCAGAGCAACCGTGGATCATTCTGAATGGCAGCTGGATCCGAAGGTGTTCAGAGAGATCGTGGACAGGTTTGGTTCCCCAACCTTAGACCTTTTGCCTCCCCCACCAACTCACAACTTCCCAGATTCCTTTCTGGGTTCCCACCTCCATCAGCAGAGGGAACAGATGCACTCCGCAGTCCCTGGCCCAGGGAACTGCTCTGTGCCTTCCCTCCTCTGCCGTTTCTTCCTGCCACGATCAGGAAGATCCTTCGCGAACGAGCAGAGGTCCTCCTGGTTGCGCCGCATTGGCCGAGACGCTCTTGGTCGCCGACCTGATGGAGCTCTCCGTATCACCTCCATGGAGGATCCCAGCAAATCACATCTCCCACATTCAGGGGGAACTACGCCATCCAGACCCTCAATGACTCCAGTTAACCGTCTGGCACTTGAGAGGCAGGCCTTAGGCTGAGACTCATATTCGTCAAGGGTCATAGCTATGATTCAGCAATCTAGGTGACCCTCGACGAATAGAATATACGATGCCACATGGAGAGACTCCTGTAATTGGTGTTCAGTTCGAAAAATTGACCTTTTGGCGGTTTCAATGCCAGTTATCTTGGAGTTCCTGAGGGATGGTCTAGACAAAGGGCTTTCCACAAGCACCATCTGCAGGCAGGTAGCATCACTTGCCACAGTTATTTCCTGTGGCAATGAATCCTTAACACATTACCCTATGATACGCTCCTTCCTAAAAGGAGCTAACAACGTCAGACCATCAACTGTACATAGATACCCCTCGTGGGATCTTCATCAGGTTTATAGGTTCTTGTTTCGCACCCTTTGAACTATTGACACTGGTTTGTTTAAACAGTTATCGATGAAGGTGGCATTTCTTGTTGCTGTAACTTCAGCGAGAAGGATATCTGAACTGGCTACTCTTCAGTGAGGAAGGACCTGTGTACATTCCATAAGGACAGGGTAACCCTTAGGCTAGGCCCCTCCTTCGTGCCTAAGGTCAAGTCCTTGTATCCTAAATCTCAGGAAATAGTTTTGCCGGACTTCTGTCCTAACCCATCTAATGAGATAGAGGTTCAGTGGAACAAATCGGATGTGCGCAGGGCTTATATTGTTATATACAGAGAACCTCATCTTTCCACAGAACAGAGGCTCTGTTTGTGTACTATCACCCTTCATCACTAGGTCAGAAGGTTTCTTCAACCACAATACGCAGGTGGATTAGAGTTTGTATTTCTCTGGCATACCAGTCTCAGTCACTGCGAGATCCCAGGCACTACAAGAGGGATATATATGCATCTTCTACGGCTTCATTTGGCCGCAGGGTCCTAGAACACGCATTAACATTGGGTGGGAACCAGGCCCAATCTAATTCCCCACCCTAGGGACACAGGGCTTTGGTATGTCCCATCCGTGGGTTCTCCATCCAATCATGCTGGAGAAAGGGGCGTTGTCTTACCTGAACGCCTTTTCTCAGCATGATGATGGAGAATCCACTCCCTCCCATTAGGTCAGTTGGCCTGGTCCCCATTTGTTCAGACGCGTCGGACTAAAGTCTGGGTATCGCCTTAGCCTAAAACTGGGGTGCAGTTGGCACAGAGGGGGCGGTACTAAATTTCAGACTTAGTCTAATTGGAGCAGATAGATTAAGACAACCCATCCGTGGATTCTCCATCATCATGCTGAGAAAAGGCGTTCAGGTAAGACAACGCCCCTTTCTCACAAATCCCAACCATACCAACTGGCATAGTTAATAGTGAAGAGTGCTGGAATCTGTAGTCAAAAAGTTATCCACCATAATGCAGTAGAATGAGAAACTCATTCATAGCATTTAGATTATTACATGTGCTATATAGATGCATCCTTTTCAGTGATCATGGAAGAAACAGGGAAATGGTGCTGGGATTAAATAGGTCTACCTTTAGAGAGAATAGTAGAAAAAAGCACCAATGTAACATGAATGAAAATTGCGCTTATTAATATTAGCTAGGAACCCCCAGAAAGAAAAACAATCACTTGTTACAAGCAGTAATAGTTCTCTGCAGATGGTTTCAGGATGTTATGATGAACTGAGTAGATTGGTAAAAAATATTTTTTAGCAAAAAGATCTATTTCTCAAAGAAAAACATTAGTTTGCACTGCACCAGAGTGAAGTTAAAAGCAGGGGATTGTTTTTTTGCAATCAGAAGAATTCACTTTTAGAATCTTTAATTAGCTGTGCAGCAATAAAAGCAATATATGGAACCCAAGGGAAGATCTGGATAACTACTGTGAGTTCAAATGACTGAATGGTCAGAGGTAATTTACTATGTTTAGACATTCTGTTAGCCCCAAAAAACTGTCTGGCTACCACAAAATATCATAAACTTTATGGTATGCAGTGGAAAAAGTAGAATCACAGCATCTTTCTATCTGGAAAGAAACAAATCCCTCAAAAATGAACCATTCTATTCAAAAAAATCATAGTTTGCTTAAATCTTACAATTCTTTCATTACTTATTAACAGAATAACAGAATAGGAATGGAATTTGAAAGTCTTCTATTTCAAACCCCTGCTGAAGCAGGAGACATTATACCACTTCAGACAAATGGTTGTCAAATCTCTTCTTAAAAATTTCCATTGAGACTTCTGGTTTGACATTGCAGTGTAACGGATACAGAAAGATGGGGCTCTATCTTCCACATTCAATTTTGCCCTGCTGGGGACCCTAAAAAGGGTCAAAAGTCACCCCAGAGAGGTGACAAAGAAGGAGGGGACCCTTGTTGATTGCGGGAGGATGGTGGCCCTTCCATTTGATCTGAGAAAGCCCTCCAAACTGGCAGGGGAAAGACTGGCTACATCCATGTGGCCAGTCAGAAGCTGCTGATAACTGAAGAAAATAAGCACTAATGAGCAACTTTCGAGTGATGTGGATGGAACTGGGTGAGACCCTATCCTCTCTTTATGACTTTAAACTTTTTCCTGGAAAAAACTGCCCAAAGCAAAGAATCCTCCCCAAGGAGAGAGGGAAGAGGAATTTCCACCCCATTCCCTTAGGAAAAGAAAAGCAGTGAATTAATTGCTTGGGGGGGAAACAGAGAAAATTACAAGATTAATTTGGAATCAATATATATATATATATATATATATATATATATATATATATATATATATATATAACTTTGAAATTTGGGGACTAAAAGTGCTTTTGAGATTTTTTTGTTAAAAAAAAGAGACTTGAAAAGCTCATAATATTAGTTTGGACTTAAAAAGCTGGAAGACAGCATCAGCGACATCTAGTGGTGAACCACAGCACTACAATTTATTATGTTTAAGGGAAACTTGGCTTGAAGCCCAGACCCAGATAAGACTTTCATTGTCCTTGGAAATTTTCATTCTTCTAGATTGCAGCTGGGAAAAGGGGGAAAAACTCTTGGGCTGCTTATCTGTGTGGCAGAGATGATAAACTATTTTGAAACTGGACTGCCTGGACCATGAATATAAATACCAACTGATTTTTAGAGATGTGTCATGGAGCTATTTACCTGCAGAAGAAACATGCATTATGGATTGGGATGATGGAATACTTTGGATTATAAACCTTTGACTGATGAACAACTTTTAATTGCTTTTTTCTCTCTGGACAGAAAGGACATGCTTCTCATTGGACAGAAAAACTTGAATTTTGCTTATATTTGCTTAGAGGAGGCTTAAGGATGGACTGGTAAGCTGGCTGGATAACTTGGAGCTCAAATTACAATTGACTGGAACTCTTTAAATCCCTAAATAGATTGGACTATAGAGACCACATATAAAAACAAAATGAATCTTCCATACTCAGCTTTAAATGATAAAAAACCATCTCTAACACTTATCTCCAAAGTCCCCAGCTTGACATATCAACAAGAAAATGTTGACAAAGCTCAAAAGGAAATTCTTTCTATGTTAAAATTAATACAAGAGACAATTGCCTTAGCTCATGATGAGACTAAAAATAACACAAAGGAGATAAAAGAACAATTTTCTAATCTAAATCCACAAATTCAGAAAATGAATATAAAGGAAGAACTAATAACCCAGAAAATATAAGGGAAATTAGAGGAAGCGGATCCAAAGATGGAGGACCTAAAGGAAGGAATTAACAAACACGTTTGGACAAATGAAGAATTAGAAGATGTAGCGATAATACTGGAAACCGAAAAGACATCTTACCTGTCAAGATCTCAGAATACTTTTGAGGATAAGGAAGAAGAGCCGATTGAATGGAAGATAAAGCTGTTAGGAGAATTGTGGGAAATTGGAGAAGGAGGGAGGCTGTCTAATGAATATCAATGGGCTGAGTGTTCTTCCAAAAATACTTTAACCAAATTGTCTTACTTATTCCAAACAATAGACATAAAAATAGAGGAAGAACTACTTGATGATTCAAAGGCATTGACTTGGAAAGTTAGTTGGCAAAGGAAGAAAGCTAGAGTAAGTTTGAAGAAAATAGAGGTCCTGACCCATTAAATGGGATATTATACTATTAAAGAGATGTTTGAATATGGCTAAGGAATAGATCATTTTTAGAAATAGAAGTGTTATTAGAACTAGAAAGATAGGATCTATAACTAGAATTTTACTTTTTGACATGAGAAGAGAAATATGAAAATGCTAAGAAGATTTGAACAACGGAAGCCTTTGGTTGTCCAAATATAATTTATTATAAGAAAATTCTAAGTGATAGAGACACTTTGAACATTGATGGGAAATCAAATTTTTTAAAAAAGCAGGAAAAAAAGGATATTGATTGAACAAATGGATATTAAGTGCAAATGCAATTGAGGTATGTTTTGGTTAGAAAAGATATTTTAAATTGACACTACTAATATTATACATAATATTAGAAAAATTTAACAAAGATGCTGATATTCAATTGTATATGCATTAACAGCAATAAGAATTGTATTTGCCCAGTATGGAAAATGTATAACACAGGAAGAAGAGAGGAAGCACTGGATGGTATAGTATTGTACCTAGATTGAGGAAGTTAATATGTACCATTGAATTACTGATGGACCCAGACAACACATTGTTTATTAAGTACTTATGATTGTAAAACTAGAACATTAATAAAATACTTATAAAAAATTTCCAGTGATGGAGCACACACAACTTCTGAAGACAGGCCATTCCACTGATTAATTGTTCTGTTAGGAAATTTCTCCTTATTTCTAGGTTGGTTCTCTCCTTGATTATTTTCCATCATTGCTTCTTGTTCTACCTTCAGATGCTTTGGAGAATAGGCTGACCCACCTGTTCTTTGTAACAGCCCCTTAGATATTGGAACATTGCTATCATGTCACCCCTCGTCCTTTCTTTCATTAAATCAGATATACCCAATTCCTGCAACAGTTAGTTATATATTTAGTTTCCAGTCCCTAATCATCTTTGTTGCTCTTCTCTGCACTCTTTCTAAAGTCTCAATATCTTTTTTATATCATAGCAACCAAAACTGGATGCAATATTCCAAGTTTTGCTTTTCATCCAAGAAGCTTCTTCAGTTCCAAGATTCTCTTGAATGAGAAGTGAAATGTTTTCAAGGGAAAAAACTCCAAGAAAGTCCAGCTACCTTTTAGAAAATCACCTTTGGGATAACCATAACCTGGATGATTGAGAATCTCCATAGACCTTGGGGTATTTATACACTGATGGCTTAAATGATGATCACAGAACTATAGAGGTTGGAAAGAGACCTTAGAACTATCTGTAAAGAGCAAAAATCCTCAGACCATTCCCAACAAGTTGCTGTACAACCTTTTCTTGATAACATTGTGCTAGAAGATGCAAAAACTCCAAGAAATAGATTGTTGCACTGCTTAATAATGCTCATGGTTAGAAAGTTTCCTTGTTTTGAGTTTGGATCATTTCTTGTAAAGCTTCCATTGTTTATTCTTTTGCTTTCAGGAACTACTGAGAATAAATCTTCACCTTTCCCCCGTGACCACTTTTCAAGTGTTTGAAGGTTTCTATCATTCTTTCCTTAGCTTTCCTTTCTTCAGATTAAATAATCTCAATCCCTTCAATTGTTTTTAATAGGGTTTAGTGTTGCAAGCCCCTCACCATCTTCATTGCTCTTCTCTACACTCTTATCAGTTCCCCAGTGCTCTTCCTGACTTATGGAAGTTGAAACTAGATTCATTACTTCAGGTATGGTCTGACCAGTAATCATAAAATACAACCTTCACTTCTTATGATCACAAGTAATATCTCTGTTGATGAATCCCAAGACTGCATTAGCTCTTTTGACAAAAGCAATATATTGCTGGCTCATGATTTCTAATAAAGAAAGAGGGCTTCTCTGTATGATTAAAGCTTCATGATCCTCAGTCATGTTGCCTTTAGTCACAATTCCTTTTAAACAAGGCAGCTCCAAAGTCTGAGATGGCATTTTCAGAAAGTGTTTTAATCTCTTCATCACCTCAGTTTGTGAATGTTTCCTCACTTCTTACTTATTTACTGTACTTCAAACAGAATTGGGTGTTGGATTTCAAAAATGATTGTAACATGGACTAAAAATATTTTTTCTCCTTTTTCTCCCCAGTCACCTGTGTTTTTTCCTCCAATTTTGCAAATGAAAGTGACGTACATGGTGAAGTTTCCTTATTGCTTTTATCCTGAGATTTCTTCCTTGGATTGTAACAGCATCATTAGCTGGAGGAGCTGAAGAGCAAACAACCTACAAACGAAACATTGAATATCAAGATCAATTCCCTGATTAATTTCATTGATATACTCACAATAAACTATTACAACATTAGACAACATTATCAAGGTAAGACAGCCACTCCCCCCTCATCCCTTTCAGTAAATACATTTTTGCTTTTGCCCCAAAACAAACTCAGCCCATTGATTGCAGCTTTAGAAAATTGAAACTAGAATGTGAAAACCAGAATCTCCTATTTGTATTGCCGCAAGTGTGTGGGTGGTTTTCTGAGTCTCATGACTGAACCATAAACTAACCACCTGTGTTAGATTCACAGACATGGCTAGCTTGCATTTATTTGTTTATTTGTCTAATATATATCCTTCCTTTGTTATTTTTATAAACAATTCAAGATAGCGAACATACCTAATACTAAGGTGACCAACCGTCCTCCTTTAGGGAGGACAGTCCTCCTTTTGTAAGTTCTGTCCTCCCTCAAAAAGTGTCCTCCTTCATGTCCTCCTTTTCAATATTTGAAGACTAAACTGCAGGGCTTTTTTTTCCCCTCATAGAACGCTCAGAACGGCACTCCGGCACCTTTTTTTCATGGTTTTTTTTTTCAATTTTTGCATGAGCTGTGCTACTTCCCCTATTGGCTTTCGAAAGCCAATAGGAATTGCTGCTGAGCGCACCAAAACACCCGGCTGGCAAACTTTGCACATGCAAGTTGTCTGTATTATTGTTGCAATGAATAAAATGTTTCTTTTATTTACGATATTTTTTTCTTCAATTTATTTGTGTCCTCCTTTTTATTGTAAAAAAGTTGGTCACCTTACTAATACTCCTTCTTTCTCCTAATTTCTCCACAACAAAACCCTGTGAGGTGAATTGTGCTGAGAGAATGTGACTGGTCCAAAGTTACCCAAATTGGATGCCTGGAATAGGTTGGGCTTTAAGAACTTTAAAAAAATCTAGCAAAGAGAGATTCAGTCTGATCACTTAAAAAAAAAAACTTCCAGAGTTGGAGCATTCACAACTTCTGGAGACAAGTTGTTCCATGGATTAATTTTTCTAACTGTCAGGAAATTTCTTAGTTCTAGGTTTCCTCTCCATATAAGAGGCTGTTCTACTTTAAAATGGTGCTGCATTTTAAAAGAATTACAAATATTGGGGAGAAAATTCCAGTGGCATATTTTCCTTTCAAGTGCATCAGCATCATAGTTTTTCCTTAAATCCATTATGATTACTATATTTCCTGTTATTTCATCAAATACAAAGAAATCAGTCTGAAAGATGGTTAAACGGATATCAGTAGAAAAGCCCCTTTATTTTTTCTTCTGAGAACATTGTCATCAAACATTAGAGAAAGAGTATATTTTTCAGATGTTTATTTTAGTCTAGAAAAAAAATGCAGTCTCCCCCCCCCATTTTGTGTAAAATGCAAAGAAAGCAGAGCCATGATAGAAAAAAGTTAATGTAGCAGGGAAATAAAAAACCCTTGGATATGTTATAGTGTTATAACCAACAAAAAGTTAATTAACAGAAAAAAGAAAGTTCCATATAATAACTGATAGTGATATAATTTCTTACACTTATAAAATCTAGTCTATATAGAAACAAATTACTTTATCTTCTATTTTTGGAACAGAAAAATATTTTAGAAATAGCTAATAGATTCATATTCTGGATCCATTGCTTAAAAGGGACAGGAAGATTACTTCCAATTACTTAAAATTATCAGTTTTGCCATGCCTCAGACCTAATATGGTCTTAGCAATTCATGAAATGAGAAATCCTATGTTTGAAGAATATAGTTTAACATCTCCTTAAGATCCTTAACTGTATTAATAACCCTGTACTCTGCTCTGGGAAGTGAAGGGGGGGTGAGGGTGGGTGGGTGGGTGAGTGGGTGGGTAAATAGGTAGAATAGGATAATATAGATATAGTAATTTATGAGAGAGGTGCTGCTTGGGCATTTTCCCTACGCTGTATTCCTGTATTTGAGAGGGATGAGAGGGGAGGAAAGTGAAGGGAGGAAGTAGGATGGTAAGAGGAGAAGGGGAGGGGAAGAGAGTAGTGAGGGGAGGAGAGAAAGAGGAGGGAAGTAGGGAAGGTATTAGAGAGGGTGGATGCAGCTTGGCAGGAATGAGCAAGCGGCACCTATGGTTATTATTTTGTAAAGTGAATTTTGTTGTATATGTTGAATAAATGGAAAATAAAAAAATTTTATTAAAAAAAAAAGATCCTTAACTGTAATATTTCGTCCCAAAATCAAAGTGAATTGTAGTGATTTGAAACCAAAACAAGGACTGGACCAGATCATATAAGTTAAGGAACATTTACATTTCTTAAATGTAAACACACATACAAAATATAGTTTCGGTTTAGAAATGGATGGAAAGTTCAAGGAAAGACCATAGCTTTGCTTATGTTGGTGTCTTTATTTATTTAATTCTTTATCACAAAATGTTTATGCTCCTGTGCCAAGAATGTTTTAAATATGCTTTTAAAAGAGATACTGTATGTGTGAGTACTGAACAAAATCTGACTTTGTATGGAATTAATACTAAAACATTAGCACTGCAGTTGTAAAATATCTATCTTCTGCCCCTCTGTCCCTCCACTCCAGAGACAACTCACATGGATGATGGTTGCAAGTTTTCTTATGCCATTTTATGATATTGGCTCAACACAGTTTTTGAATTTGTCTGCATTTATCTTTGCAACTAGCTATGGGCATACATGAAAAGAGCAAAGGACAATTAAGTACTCCCAATGCATTTAATGCCTTGGGCAACCCAATTCTAAAAAGTTAAGTTGTTGAGCTGACATTATGGTGATTGAATCTATCCTAAATTCAAATCCTTCATAGCCAGAAGGATTGCTTGAAACCATCACTGCATTCCAGGGATTAGAAATTATTTAGGACTACTAAAATTAGGTCTGGTCAATTTTATGTCAACATTTTACACATCTCCATAGGTTGAATTTATTTATTTATTTATTTATTTATTTATTTATTTATTTATTTTTGTTTGTTTGTTTGTTTGTTTATTAAATTTATATGCCACCCATCTTGTCAAGAGGTGACTCTGAATGGGGACTGAATGCAGTGCTACAGTATTCATATTTTTTTGGCTTCTTCTCCCCTCTTGCTAGCACAGTGGTTCTCAACCTTTTTACTGCCGTGACCCCCAACTGGTCGTAAGTCGAGGACTACTCAACCGGTCGTAAGTCAAGGACTACTCAACTGGTGCAGCACCATTTGCAGAATGGGACTTTTGGCGGGCTCAGCAGGGCAGAGACAGCCTGGACAATTCCTATGGGCTTTTGAAAGCCAATAGAATTAGACTCTATTCAAGAGAGTCTATTCTATTGGCTTTCAAAAGCCAATAGAATAAAAGGGAGTAGCATAGCTAAGGAAAAGGGGAAAAAAATGGCAGACTGCGTTGTTTGGCAACCCCCGTGAAATGGTCATTCGACCTCAAATGGGGTCCCGACCCACAGGTTCAGAACCACTGTGCTAGCAGATCTCCCTATTAACCTGGCAGATCTCTTTATTGTCAGTTAGAATCTGTTGAAGAAACACAGTTTTTGTATGGCAGTAATAGATTTAGCTAGAAAACTATTTGTCCCCTTCATCAAAACCCCACCCATTTAGCAAATTTTAGTCAGTATGTGTTCCTATGTAATTTTTCTATTGAAGTCATAAAAGCTTTTCATTTGAGAATGCTTATTGCATTATTGTTGTATATGACCCTATTAATATTATACTTTGGAAGTCCACAGATTAAAAGTATACAATTAACAATGGTATATAATGTATTTTAACTTTGATCATTTGAAACTATCCCCATTTTTTCTTAAGTTTAAATATAGTTTAAATACAAAACACTCCCCTCTTTCTATAATTTATTATAAAGACACTGTTTTTGAATATGTGGACCTTTTAGTAACCAGATCCTTAAAGTCTAAAAAGCCGATGTTAGTTGGATTAAACACAGCAGATGGTGATATCTGGCTGACTTTGTCTGGTATGGTCTGATTAGCATAAGGGTGGGAAACCTCTAAAAAAATTCAGGGTTATAGGTTAGACTAAGATATTAAAAATAGTTCTCAAAAGGCAATGACAATCCACTTCCATTATGCTGCCAAGAAAAAGACATGAAACACCATGTGATAAAATCACTAGAAGTCAAAGGCCACTTGCTGGAGACTACTTTTTAGTCACTGAAGATATTTCTGAGCTGTTTACAGTTTACATCTCAAAAGAATTTAGAAGCAAACAAGTCAGGAGTCCTGCCATATTATCTAGCATAGTGTTTTAGCAACTTCACTGGCTGGAAGTTCTAGGAGTTGAAGTCCAGATATCTTCAAGCTGCTAAGGCTGAGAAACACTGGTCTAGCATATATAACAAAACAAAGGAAAATGTATGCATGTAATCTTGCCCAATAATACTTTCACATTTGAATAGAATAGAATAAAAACTTTATTGTCACTTTAAATGTACACTAATCCAGCATACATTAAAAAGAAACTTCATTGCATACCACATATGTTCCATACCATTAAAATATATGACTGGCATATTCAAGGATCTTCTCAGTATGATTGCCCAAGACATAAGTTATTCTGTAGTATGTTATAAAGTATATCACCACATTTGGTACATGTTAAAATACAAACCATGGCATTTATGTTGATGCCAAATCAGCAAATAACTTAGGATAGTGATACAGTATTTAATTCTGAGTATGCATTATGATTTAGCACACACTGGGTTTCAACTTACTTACTGTGATCTTGAGGATGCATTCTTCTTAAACATATACTTATCTTTAAATTCCTGACTACCCCCCTTTGAACGCTGCTTAAATATGCAAACTCATTTGCCATAACCACATCCTCATATTGCTTGCTGGGTTGTAGCCAGAGGATTTGGTGACACGCTGATACTCCTTCAATTGTATATTAACTTCAATAATACAGACATGTGCATTTGCAAGTGTTCTTGGACTGAGAAGTTTCTCTTGGTTCAGTACAATCAGTGATAATCTCTGCTATTTCAAGCATAAAGTTGGACTGGATATGGATGCAAACTTTGTGCAACTACCTCAAAAGTAAATTA